TTGTTAAGTTTTTAAACAAGCTTAAGAAAGTATTTCCCAGAAGGAAGGGATATTATCTAAGAGAACATAGTGCAATCTGACCTGCAGAATGCGGGAAGGAACATGCAGCAGAAAGAGAAAAGAGTCCTTTAATAAACTGAAAAGCGTTTTATGAAACGTCCCCCCCATTATCATATAATAAATATTTTAATTAGGAAGGCATAAAGCTCATATCACCTTGGGAGTAAGAGGGGCAAAATAAACAGGTTGGCAACCACTGAACTGTGGGAATTACACAATAAGCTGCTATTAAAAATCAGTGGAAAAGGGGGTCTATCTTCCACAGATTGCTTTTATCCTCAACAATAATTTCATAGGCTGGGTGCATATTTTTTTCTTTGAAATCAATTCATCCAGAAATCTGCTTTCCTCTAACTTTAGTCCATGTGCAGAACTGCACAAGAGCAGGAGATGAGCTTTCAATTTTCCCAGAGCATGATTCTATTATCCATAGTATGCTCATAACATTTAATTTCCAGTTCCTAGACAGTAAATACTAGTTTGGATTTTTAGAAAGGCTGAATGATTTTCAACGGTCCTACAGCTCCTGACCTTTAACATGTCTGTTACTGTAAGGTAGGTTTTTCCTTTGTGTGGTTTTCCCCACCTCTACAGATTTGAAGTTGAAATACATTTCTCCTGCAAACTGCAGCCTACCCACAATCATAAACAAATTACACTGTGTCAACATTTGAAACCAGGTCACTAAATCATAGCATGCTGGGATGGAATTGCTGCCCCTATCATCTACCAGTTACTGCTATCAAAGCATATAACCGGATTAGTGGGAAAACAGCTGTATTACTCATACATTTAAGCTCTTTCAAACAGCAGGTTTTCTTTCTGCAACAGAGCACAGCACTTCAGATAAGAAAAATGCAAATCCCAGAGGAAATCTTGACATATTAACCCCTGGCAGTCTTTACGTGACTTAATAGTTCGTTCAACCTCTTTTCGCTGGAAATAAATGCGAGAACTATATTGAATCAGTAGAACTAATGTATTTTAACACATCTACTTTTAAGCTTTTTGTTCCCCAGGATTTCTCTATATACCAGGCACGGTTGATTAAATCATCCTGTCACTTTCTAGAAGTGATTGGCATGAGCTTAAATCTGTGTCTCTCAGTTGTGGGCATGAATCATCATACATATGGGTTTTGTGGGACAACATCTTGGCAGAGGTTAGTGGTAAAACAGCTCTCTAGTTAACTCAAAACCTCATTACTAAACACTCTATGGTTATTAAAGCTAACAAGCCATAAAACAACTGTTGCTTTCTTGGCCAAAAGATCCAGAGGGAAAGAAAAATTGTAGATAGCTTCCAGTTATTGCTAGTGTTCATTGATCTATCTGCTGATATTATATCAACTGAAAAATATCACCTAGCTTTTTGGACTTTTTAATTAGCTAATGATGTCTAATACCAGGATGTTTCAAAAGAAAAAGTCCTGAAGCAATAACATGAAATATATCAAATAAATCTACATTTCTTTCACCTAGAACAAAATGTTTAAGTGGATATTTTGGGGTTTGGATTTATGAAGAAAAACCTGGAGTTAGACTTGATTTAGATATGCCTTCTTTGTTATGGAATATTCTGTGAAGAATAATGATGATCTTTTCTGTATCACCACATCATAGAATCATAGAAGTTTGGGTTGTGGAAGGGACCTCTAAAGGTCATCTAGTCCAACCCCACTGCC